TTGACTCTAAAGGGGAAGTCATACTAAGTTCCATGATGGTGGACTTTAAACCTACCAACATTAATGAGGCACTCAAGAAGAAGGTGTGGGTAAATGCCAATGAAGGAAGAACTTGAGGCAATAAAAAGAAACAAGACATGGGAATTGATTTTTCTGCCTAAGAACAAGAAAGTCATTAATATGAGATAGGTTTTCAAGATAAAGCTGAAGCAGGGTGGTTTAATTTTCCAAGCATAAAGCAAGGTTAGTATCTAGAGGATTCCTACAAAAGTCTAGTTTATACTGTGAAGGCAAAGCTTCTCAAGCAATTTTGATGATGACACATTCCACAACATACAAGGATGGTTCAAAGACTATCAAGTAAATCAAGTTTGAAACAACTCAATTTTATATCATTATGTCAAAGCTTGATCAAGAATGGAGACAAGTTATACACAAAGGAAGCTACAATGTTTAAGCTACTATATACCTTAAACAAGTGTTCAACTTCATCTCTCCTTCTTGCATTTCATATTAAAACCTTTTAAAACTTTTTTTTTTTGCACTTCTGCCTCTTTTTCAAAATTGATTTTCTGGAAAATTGAACAGAGTAACCAGTTACTCAAACCTGGTAACCAATTACCCTTTGTAAACTTTCAATTTTTTTTAGCCGTTGAGGCTGGTAACTGGTTACCCATTTATGGTAACTGATTACCATTGACGCTGTAGGCCAGAAAGATGCATCTTTTGGCATAAAATTGTTTTCATTCCTCCTCTTGAATCATGGCATCTCTTAGCCATTATATCTCTTCTGAAAAGGTTTTTAGAGGCATATATATACCTCTAAACTCATATTTTAAAATTCACCTCCTTGCAAAAATTTCAAATATATTTTTCATCTCTCATTCTCAAATTTTCACAAGTGTTAAAATTCTGATTTTTCAAGAGTGAAACCTGCATACTTCAAGTTTCAGAATTTTATCATAGTTTCACTCATTTACCTCTTGAACACTTGTTAAGATATATAAGAGTTGGAATATCAAAGAAGAAGATCGATCGGAAGATTGATATTTTGAAGAGAATTACAAAACTACTCAAAACAGATTTTATTCATTTAATCTTGGTTACATACTTAGTTCTCCAGGATTGTTGGAATTAAGTTTGTAAGGTTGTTACCTTGTTGTCCAGGATTGTTGGAAGAAAGAGGTTCATATTTAGAGGATTGTTCTCGTTGGAGTTAGTTGAAAATTCCAAGAGTTTGTTCTTGGTGGTTTGATTGTTTAGAATCTGTATAGAAAGACTGGGTAGAAGTGTTGTCTTAGGATCTAACAATTATTTTAAAATCTCTTTCGTATTGAAAGGGGACTGGAGTACTCTTGGACTGTGAGGGGAACCAGGATACATCGTCGTGTCTCTCTACTTTCCGTATTTATCGCATTCTTAACTTAGTAAATTTTAGGAAAGTAAAACAAGGATCCTACATCAAAGACCAAAAAACTTTAAGTATCTAATTCACCCCCCCCCCCCCCCCCCCCTCTTAGGTGTATTTCACACTTACATATACTACTTTGAATTTTTCGCAGCAGTAGCTAGACATGAAACCATAAGATTGATTACTGCCATAGCTGCAAATAGGCATTGTAAGAAGAATTTTATGTGTTACAACTTCTTGAATTTATGAAAGAGAATAAAGATGAGATAATGTACTATCTGTATAAAACCTTGTACGCCTGAAACAAGCTCCAAGGACTCGGAATCTAAAAATTAATTCTTTTTTCAAGCATCTGGGATTCAAAAAATGTGAAATGGAACATGGTGTGTATGTGCAGCATACCTCTAATGGAAATGTGATCTTGGAGTGTCTTTATGTAGATGACATACCTCTAACAGAGAGCTGTATTTTTGAGATAAACAAGTTCAAAAGGGTTATGATGAATGCATTTGATATAACTGACCTTGGAAACATGGTATCTTTTCTAGGGATGGAGATTTACACTTTGAAAAGGGAATTGTTGTGCACCAACTAAAGTATGAGCTTATGTAGTTGGACATATTTGATCTAATGAATTATAAGTTAGCGGTCACACTTGGTGAGACAAATCATAAGTTGGATTATGATACTGACGGTGAGGATGTAGATATTACAACCTTCAAACAGTTGGTTGGATGTTTGAGATATTTGTGTAACACCAGACCTGACATATGTTATGAAGGTGGAATGGTAAGTAGGCTTATAAGTAAATAAAAATGGTCAATTACCAAGTTGCAGTCAAGATACTAAAGTATATAAAAAGGACTCTGAGACATGGAATTTTGTTTCTCTTTGGAGTGTGAAATGATGCTAAGCTGATATGTTATTCAGACTCAGACTGGTGTGTGGGACAAAGTAGACAGAAGAAGCACTACATGATACATGTTTATGTATTTAGAATTTTCCTTTTCATGGTGCTCCAAGAAGAAATCAATGGTTGCATTGTCAACCTGTGAGGCAGAGTACATAGTTGGTGCTTTGTCAGCATGACATGCTATTTGGCTGATGGATTGCTGTAGGAACTGAAGTTCAAGGTGAGCAAACCATTCAGGTTGATGATTGACAACAAATCAAGCATAAGTCTTGCCAAGAATCTGGTGTTGCATGGAAGAAGCAAACATATTGATACTAAGTGTCATTTTCTATGCAACCAAGTTCAGAATGGGGTGTTTGATATTGTTCATTACAACATTCAGAAGCAACTTGCAGATGTGGTGACTAAGACAATCAAAACTGAGCGCTTAATCAATTTGAGAGATGAAATTGGGGTTGTTGACTTTTAACCTTGAATATGAATTAAGGAATTATGTTAAATGAAATCCAAATTCAAGTTGCTTTAGTTTTAGTTTTCATTTCATTTACAATTGAATTTGCATTTGTATTTGAGTTTCATCTGGGTTAATATATATAAATCCAAAGTTAGTTACAAAAACAAATAGATTGAATAGATTTGATATTTGAGAAATAGAAAAGTTAGTTACTCTCTCTCTCTCTCTCTCTCTCTCTCTCTCTCTCTCTCCAAGCGCAATTATACAATTATTTCATTTCTTTTTCTTCTTCTTATGCATCAAAGAAGTTTTGTTGTTAACTTCAACACTAAAATATTTTTCAATAATTGTTGAGGGAGATTTTTCAACTAGGGAGTATTGAACATTGTAGGACTTCTTTTCTTAAGCAACACCTTTGTGAGAGACACACCACATATTCACCTAAAACCTTAAGGTGATAGGTGTGTGGGTTCTTCCACTTATAAATGCTCAAGTCACCATATTTCAATCAAATGTGAAACTATTATCCATACTACTCACACATGTTATACTTAAAAACCCCCCCTCCCCCCGCCTCAAGTGTGAGTCTATCAACAATACTTCCACAATACTCCTCCTTAAAAAGAAGCTTCAATTGTGCAACTATACTTTCTGTTGTGCGTTTTTTACTCACCACCCTTGTACCGTCGTTGACACTCTTCAATGAGACACCTCCTAACCACTGCATGTAGGGAGTACTTTCGATACAAGTGAGTCGGTCATTCACTCGAACCAAAGGCTCGTAATACCACTGTTGGGGGGAGATTTTCACTAGGGAGCATTGAACTCGTGATACCTTCAGGTTTTGAGTGAGTATGTGACGTGTCTCTCACAAAGATGTTACTCTAGAAAAGAAGTCTCACAATGTTAAATCCTCCCTAGAGAAAAAACTCTTCCAACAAATGGTATTAGAGCCTGGTTCGAGTGAAGGACCGACTCACTTGTATCGAAAGTACTACCCACAGGTGGTGGTTAGGAGGTGTTCCGTTGAAGAGTGTCAACGGCGGTACAAGAGTGGTGAGCAAGAAACGCACAATAGAAAATGCAGTTGCATAGTTGAAGCTTCCGCTTAAGGGGGAGTATTGTGGAAGCATTGTGGATAGACTCACACTTGAGACAGAGTGTTAAGTATAACAAGTGTGAGTAGTGTGGATAATAGTCTCACATTGAATAGGAATGTGGTGGCTTAAGCATTTATAAGTGGGAGAATCCACACACCTATTACCTTAAGATTTTAGGTGAATTTGTGGTGTGTCTCTCAAAAAAGTGTTGCTCTAAAAAAAAATCCAACAATATTCAATGCTCTCTAGGAAAAAAAAATACTCCCCAAACAATAACCACATGTTTTCTTATAAATTGGAAAAATAGTCTTACACACCAAATCTCCTTTTTGAAAATTTCTCCTTATCATACAATCTACTAAATCTTTTCTTATGTCGATGTTATTTAGGGCTAACAATCTTTCTTCATTCAAATAATAGAATATCATGTTCCAATAACTTTGCATTGAAAATTCATTTCGTCTTTGCATTCTTATCGATTGTAATAAATTTAATTTAACAGGAAACACAACATCTTCTCCAAAGACTAAATGAAAAGGTGTGGTCCCTATAGCTCTTTTAGGTAAGTTTCTATAAACCTGCAATACTTAGTTCAATGTCTCATGTCAATTTCAAGGCCTATGGTTGAATTTTCTCTTGATCCAGTGTACTGGTATTTTCTTGATTACTTTGACTTGTCTATTAACTTGCACATAATAGAGAGTTGAAGCTAACAAATTAATATCTATTGGTTATGTGTACTTAACCATATTTTTACTAATTATTGTTGTTCTAGTTAAGGCTGCAAAGTCCATTATCTCTACTATGCAAAGTAACCCTAAAAACAAATGTTTTATAATTTCAAAGTGAGTTGTTAGAACTATCTCGAAAGGTTTAATATAGTACTAAATAGAGGGTTCATAATAATTGTGGGATTGATTAAGAATATAAAAATTACAAACAAGAAAATTTATTATAATTTCTTAAATATTACTATTACAATCCAACACAACTGACATTAATAACATTAACATACATATTAATTAAGTTTCAAATACAAACAAATAATCCAAACACCGATTTTCTTGTTTTGATACAATTACTAATAGTTATTATAGATGAAACTGATATCTTCCATCAAACCTATCTTTTTTCAATCCGAACCTTCAAACCATTCTTCGTAACAAGTACGATAGAATGACTCAACGAAGGAGTATGATTTTCCTCTAACCGAACCCGATAGTTGCATAGAATTGAAATTGCTATCATCTTAATTTGAATGAAGGAAGAGTCTTTTCCCAAACAAGTCCTAGGTCCAGCATTAAAACTTATAAACTTGTATGATGGTGCATGAACAATGCCTCCTCTCTCAGATATCCATCTCTCTGGCTTGAACTCCAAGCAATCTTTTCCCCATACATCTTCAAATCTCCCCATTGAATACAATGAAATCACTATCATTGTATTAGGGTTAACAATGTGGCCACTTGGAAGTATGTCACCTTTCATTGCTTGCTTTCTCTCAAAAGGTATAGGAGGAAAAAGCCTCACAGCCTCACATATAGCACCATGAAGATACACTAACTTCTTCACCTCATCCACTCCTAAATTCTTTTCAATATCAATTCTCCCAAAATTTTCTTTAATCTCTTCAAGAATCTTGGTTTCTACTAAAGGGTGTGTAGAAATAAGATAAAAGAGCCATGTAAGTGCTGAAGTTATTGTATCTCTTCCTGCTACAAAGAGATTGAAAGCAGCATCTCTTAGAAACTTGTCATCGTGTACCACGACTTGCGATCCATTATCTTCTTTCATCAAAGTTGTTAGCAAATCAACCATTTCAATATTTTTGCTACTTTTTCTTAGCTCCTCTCTTTTGGACTCTATATTTGCATATATAAATTCATCAAAGATTTTGCATGCATTGGTCATATTTCTCTCTTCACCAATTTGAAGCCATTTTTGCAACTTCCAAATACTTTTAGGCACTTTATGTCTATAGAATATGCACTCTTCAATTTGGTTAAAAGCCTTCTCACAAGCAACATCAGGAAACTCAATGGAAAGACAATTCAGATCGCATCCAAGAACTATGGAACAAATGTTGTCGAATGTGAAGCGGTTGAATATATCTTGTAAATCAACCACCAACCCTTGTTGTTGAACATGATCCAACAAAGGAATCAAGCTTCTCTCCATCTTGTTTTGAATAATTTTTTCTTGAAAGAGTTCAAAATCTTTTTGTTTGAAAATTGAATGAAAAAGAGACCTATTGTATTTCCATACCTCTGAATCACTAGCAAATATTCCATCTCCAAATGCTTCAAAAATCTCGTGAAACTCATCGCCTTTCACGTAGTTATCAAAACACTTGCTCATTATGTGATGCACGTTGATGGGATCACTAGTGACCAAATAGTTCATGTTGGTAAACCAAGGTCCCATGAACTCACAAGTGCTCCTATGTTGCTGTTTCAATGCCTCAGTTACAAAATCATGAATTCTCCACAAGTTCCAAAGGACTGGTGGAAACATGCCTAAGAAAGGATAATCTATAAAAACTGGATACTTGCAAAGTTTTCGACGATGAATTTGGAAGGCTATGCATAAGAAGAAAAAAAGTGCAACAATTATTGATATCATTGTTGTAAATTATTGATGTTGTTTGATATGCTATGATATAGTTGTATAAGAGGTTGTCCTTTATATAACATAGAGTTTCCGAAAAAGTTTGTGTTTTTTTTTTTTTTCTTCCTTCTAACTGGCCTACAAGATATAGATATGATAAGTTTGACATAATTAGTGATGTAAACGTGCTAACCATTTGAAACTGTGTGTATTAACTACTTTGGGAGTGATTCAACCAATTTGAAACTTGTGTATTAATTGTTCTGGGAGTGATTCAACCAATTTGAAACTGTGTGTATGATTATCTTGAAGTTGCTAGCTCCATTTCTCGTTTTAACAATTAAGGACTTCAATAATGCTCTCATGCAACATTACAACCAACTCTTTACATGTCATAAATGGTGACCTTTCAGCATCAGTACCATCAATGAAGAAATGGTTTTAAGTTCAATATCATCGCTTGTCCATTTTTGGAGAAATTTCATAATTTATGATAATTCAAAATTGGAGAAATCTTCTTGCTACCCATACTTATATCTGACAACTCACATCCTATATGTTTTTACCATATTAATCTTGTAAACCATTAAAAATCGTTTCACAAAATCCATTGAAATATTTTGTATTTTACGAAAACCTCTTGCAATTTTTAGATATTTAGAAGACGTTACGACACTTTTTCAGAATTTATGACTAGTAAGTATCATTTTTAACTGCGTTTTCTAAAAAATCTAGTAAAACCGCATGTTTTTCATGTATTCTTCCGGTGTTTTAAAAAAATGATAAAAAGCATACATTTTTTTGATTTTTTTGAAAAAACCGATAAACATGCATACATTTTCCATATTCTTTGAAAAGCTGGAAAAATGCATATATTTTTCCATATGTTTGAAAACCCGATAAAAATGCATACATAATTACCAGTTTTTAAAAAAAATTTGAAAAAGATATGCATTTTTATCGGTTTTTCCAAATAAACTCGGAAAAATGTATGCATGGTTTACAAATTTTTACTGGACTTTTTGGAAAATCTGGAAACTTGTATGTTTTTAATCGTTTTTCAAAAAATCAGGTAGGTAAAGTGATTTTGTTTATTTTTTCACTGAAGACGAGAGGAACATATTGAAATTCTGGCAAGTAGATTGTAGATGTCCTAACAACATGTCACGACATTGCTCTATGTATAACTTTAAAACAAGGGAAGAATAAACAAGCTGGCATTCTGAATATCAGCAACAGAATCACAACAGATATTTCAACATCTGTTACAACATGTTAATCAATAAGCAAATACTAAACTGTAAATTTGCAGAATGATAAATAGCACAAGATATGTTAACCCAGTTAGGTGCAAATCACCTACACTTGAGGACTATCAAGCCAGGAAGAAGAATTCACTATCGGTAGTATAGTTTTATGTAAACAACATCTGTTTTACAGTAAACAACCTTCATTTTACCTATCACTACCCAGTGAAAACTTTATCATTAGAAGTCACATCTAATTGATAAGAGAAACTCATCTCACTCCCTTAATCACAACTTGTGATATCTAACAATTGTAGTCACAATAATTGTATCATCCTACTTGAAAGACACCTCTTTCAATACAAAATTCAGCCAAGCAACCTTGACTAACAAACCTACTTGGATTTGCTTCAAAGCTTCATCTAAGAACAATATAGAAATCATTACCTACAGGTTTCTGAATCTTTATAAACATCTATGTCTGCCATAATGTATCAAACTGATACAAAGGGAGACTTACAATACAAGGAAGCCTACGACTCTCAAAATCCTCTAAACCCTTATTTTCTACTTTACAAGTATTACAAGAGATTAGCTCTTCAGTCCTAGGTCTAGGTCTTCTTTTTATAATCTTTTGCAATCTTGGGCTTCAAATCTTCTTTCTTTGGTCCACTACTAAACGCACATTGAATCTTGTAACAAATTTAAAAACAAAACATGTTGAGTCAGTCATGATGTCGAGTCTTCATGCTGGGACATTTCATTCGACATGTTTGGTATGGGACAAATTTCTTCAAAAAAGAACCTCTTGTTCAACATTATGTTTTGCCAAAATTTAGTCAAATCCTTGGAGCTTTCACATACGACATGATTGCTTCTCAGCAACATGATAGAGCTAAAGTTGCTGCTTCAAAGGCTCGACCGAGGCTAGGTGACGTCGAAGACTCGCATCTTCGGGTGGAGAGAGTAGCCCCGATCGGTTCTCTCAGGAGGCGGCTAACCGGTCAGTTTCAAGTTCGTGCATCTCGCACTAACCTACGCAGATGATTCATACCTGCTTCTAGATGGACGAGAGATGATGAGCCAGTTGATGTTCAAGCAGCGATTCAGGATGACATGCAGATGGTGGCGAAAATAGAGGTGCCACATCCTTCTAAGTTAATAAAGATGTCTCATCCTTCTAAGGCAGATTCTCTCACTATTATAGAGGTTACTCCTCATACGACTATGAGACTGTACTTTGTAGAAGGCTACTAAGGTACATCCTGCAGATCATGTGGAGGTGACTCCTCTAGTTAAGACAGAGATCACTGTTGTAGCTTTGACAGATTCTTCTGTACACACAGATGGAGGGTTTTCTGGTGGGCCTTGTGATTGTTCTATACTCATATGGCATTCATATTATAGAAGAGGGAGGCATGTGTATGATTTGTCGATGATGTGACTTTATTTATTAACGAATGCTTTTGAATTTGTTTGTTACAGCACGGACTGCCACTAAAGGTGCCCACCCATGAGGGGAAGTTGAAGAAGTTATTGGATGTCAAGATGTCAGAAGAGATCAAGGGGATTGTTGATGATTGCGGTCCCTTTTCACTAGTGGATTGTTCGATGACCATGCTCGACAAGCAGTTACTTACGACCTTTGATGATCGATTGCATAAGGATACATCTTTCTTCCATCTTCCATTTAGTGAGATGACAATTACCTTGGATGACGTCTCGTATATGTTCCATCTTTGCTTGGAAGGTACTTTCTTCATCGTTCCTCTCATTAGGCAAGATGTTGCACATATAATTGTTGTACATGAGTTAGGGGTTACAAAGGAGCAAGTGATATAGGAGTTTAAGTATAATTGGGATTCTCACCTTCCCCTATTTGGTTGGGTGAAAGGTATAAAGATCTAGTGCACCAGGGTATGTATGAGGCAGTCGCTAGGGTATGCATGCTATATCTTTCAAGATGTAATATTGTAGTGGATAAGTCCCATGTATATATCAATGTGAAGCACATGTGGCTATTTATTCGCCTTGAACAAGTCGGTTGGGCATAGGGGTGTGATTCACTTACCGTTCTATATGTTGCACTTGGAGAGGCGACTGTCTTTGAGATGAGGTATCCAAGAAATCAAATATCCAACATGGTTGGCTAACAAAGTGATAGTAAATAAGAACTTGGGAAATGGGGAATGTATGTGGATTTCACGGATCTCAACAAGGCATGATCTAAAGATCCTAATACACTACCTAGAATTGACATGCTCCTAGATGTTGCGTCAGATTTCAAAATGTTAAGTTTCATGGACGTCTACTTTGGTTTAAAAAAAATAGGAAGATCCCTAAAAATGAACCAAAAATAATATTCCTGATTAACCGGAGCAATTACTATTACAACATCATGTCTTTTGGTTTAAAGAATTCCAAAGCAACCTACTAGAGGCTCATGGAAACTATGCTTTTCGATTAGATAGGTCAGAATCTTGAGGTATACATTGACAACATGGTGAATAAAACACCAAATAAATGGCGATATTATGAAGATCTAAATAAGACATTATCATCAGTGAGAAGGTTCAACATGTAGCTAAATCCAAATAAGTGTTCATTTAGGGTGCATGAAGGAATGTTTTTGGGTTTCATGCTAACCAAACTAGGAGTCGAGGCAAATCCAGACAAATGTCAGATGATCATTAACATGAGAAGCCCGACCTCAGTGAAAGAAATTCAACAATTGACCAGGAGGATTGAAGCGCTGTATAGATATCTATCTTGTGTGGAGATGATGATGGATATTATCATGCTATACTTTCTCATGTTAGACCTTTTTTAATGTCAGTGTAACTTCTGATGACATGTCACCGCCTCCACCACCTCTAAATAATGCAGATGACGCTCAAGGCTTGCAGATGATAAGAGTCATTATGGATAACCTCATAGGTATGGTGAACTCATATGTTTAGGTTTATACTTTGGCATCGCAAGTAGCATACATAGCCCGTGGGGGACCTATTTGGATCTTATTATCATTTCTTATATTATTTGTATATTATGTGTAGTATTACTCTAAAATTTGCACAATATTGTTTATTAGATAATATTTTGACACTTCCATCGATGCATGATGAACATAACTTAACATTTGAAAAATGGTTACATAACTTAGACAAACACATTACTACGGAAAAACAATTTCACCATGGTTGAAAAAGGGATACCACCATGGTTGACCAACTGTGGTGAGGTAGAGTGTGATTGTAAGTGTGTAGTTTACAATCACTATCTATTTTTTGTTGTATTAAATTGGAAAACATGCTCCATATAACCACAATTGTTTTAAATAATCATTGTAAAATTATTTATAGTTCCTGGGTTCGGTACCTTGCAATGCCGTTTTTGGCATTTATTATTTCGGATAGGGCTCTACCTATAACAACGGTTGTATTAAGCAACTTTTGTGAAATTATTTGTTTTTTAAAAATATATATTTTATAATTTTATAGAATTTCCAATTTTTAAACCTGAATTTTACTTAATCATATCAGACCAAAAACAACAACACACCTATTTATGAATTGTATCAGATCAAAAATTATATTTTTATCAAAGACAACATGCGTTAAGAACCAACAAATTGTATATTACATCAAAACCAAAATGGCACAAAACAACCTACAATTTACACATCATTACATCAAGTAATAGTATCTTGCCCCTTAGTGTCTTGACTTTAAGCACCTATAATTTCAAATAATGATACTTGTTAGTATA